AGAATCTGGTTCCACAAGACATGCCTTCTTTGGTTTCAATGGTAACATCCCTATCAACATTTATTTCAATACTTTGTCCTCTGTCTATTCCTTTTAAGATTTTCTTTAGGATAAATCTAAAACTTTTTTATCACAAATATAAATCTTAAAAATAAAAATGATAAAAATAGATTTAAATGTTTTATCAAAAATAAATAAATATACACTTATAGCCTTTGGATTAACTAATCATATATCTTTTTTGTTTAGAGTTGATTAGTGGGATTTTGGAGATAGGATTTCAAATTGTATAAAATAAAATAAAATTAAAATTTTCAAAATAAAAATGTTATTTTTTGTCATTTTAGTTTTTGAAATCTGTATTTGTGAAATCTATGTTTCACAAAAAAAAAAATTTAAATCTATTTTTGTGATGAAAACTTAAAAATGTCTATTTGAGAGAATTACTTTTTTTTGTACTATTTTATTAGTTTAAATATTTCTTAACTATGCTAATAATCGCTACAACAAGCCAAATTTCACTGCAAAAATTAATTATTTTATTTAATTGATAAAATCCAATATTCTAAAATATAATATAACTCAAAAACCAACATAATATCATAAACAGTATAACTGGAGTTTTGCAGGGACGGCGGGTGTATGGAGATTAGCGGCGATGGAAGAAGCCGGAGGCTGGAAAGATAGGACCACCGTAGAGGATATGGACTTGGCCGTTCGTGTTGGTTTACACGGCTGGAAGTTTGTCTTCGTCAACGACATTGCGGTATATTTCAATTTTTTTTTTGTTGGACTATAGTTAATTAATGATTGTGTCCAAACCTAATTAAAGGAATAAATCTTTACTCGTATATGCAGTCCTAATCATAATATTGATATTTGTCACATGTGTTGATTACTTTGCACATACTTTATGGAAAGTAACGTGCATATTCTGTTTCTATAATATAATATATGTAAATATACGTGTGGATGTCAAATAAATAAAGCTTTTAATATGACTATAACAAGATAGTGGTAATTGTAGGTGAAAAGTGAGCTACCAAGCCAGTTTAAGGCTTTCAGATTCCAGCAACATCGATGGTCTTGCGGTCCAGCTAATCTCTTCAGGAAAATGACTATGGAAATTATTCACAATAAGGTACATCTCCTAACTTCATACTTTATTTCATTTTGAGATAAAGCCGTGCCCAAAGTTTTGGTGCCAACCATCTTTTATTTATGCACCGTATATATAATTATGAGAGACAAACACCCAACGTTAGGAATGCATGATGTCAATTCTTTAGTTTGTTAATATCGTTACAAATTGATATTGTTATTTAAAATCATAATAATAACGTTTGGTAATGAATATGATTTGCTAATGTGAACAGAGAGTGAAGATATGGAAGAAACTGTATGTGATCTACAGCTTCTTCTTCGTACGGAAGATCATAGTCCATTTCTTCACATTCTTTTTCTATTGCGTCGTTCTTCCAACGAGCGTATTCTTCAACGAAGTCAACATTCCGACTTGGTCAACTATATACCTTCCTCTTATGATCACTCTCTTCAATGCCATTGCCACACCAAGGTTAGTGTTTTAGTGTTCATATATGTTAATTGTTTAAGTTACACTATAATATTTTATATTGAATTATTTTGCATGCACGTAGATCATTCTACCTCGTGGTTTTCTGGGTCTTGTTCGAGAATGTAATGGCTATGCATCGGACTAAAGGAACTTTCATCGGATTACTCGAAGGAGGAAGAGTAAACGAATGGGTCGTCACCGAGAAATTAGGAGATGCTCTTGAGACTAAGTTACTTCCACAAGTGAAGAAACCTCGCAATGGGATTCTCCAAAGGTAATTTACATCAAATCAAAAGTAAATAACGCCACAACAAAAAAAAAAAATTAAGGATATTAGGCTAATGTAAGAATTGTACTATTTGTTTGCAGACTAAACTCTAAAGAGATAATGGTGGGGATATACATACTGTGTTGTGCATGCTACGACTTTGCCTTTGGGAATACATTGCTCTACATTTATCTATCCATGCAGGCTCTTGCATTCATTATCTGTGGAGTTGGTTTTGTCGGAACTTAAAGTATTGTCCTATTTATTAGACATCACTAACCAAGAAATTGTAATATATCCGTTACATTTAAAACAATAAGAATACGTTGTTAATTTGTAACATATCTGTTACATAATCTCTATTTCATATTAAGTGTCATTTTAACTTTGTGTACACAGATTAAAATATAACTAGATTTTGACCCGCGCTTCGAAAGCGCGGGTTTTTGTTAGATTATAAATAAATTTTGATAGGATTTAGTATTTTAGAATTGATGTACATTATTATACTACAAATCTTATTATATAAAATAGATTTTTTTTGAAAAATTATGTAATTTATAAATTAGTTTATTTGAGATTTTATATGTAAGCTTTTAATGTAACTCTCTCTAGGTCTTGATATTTTATCCGGATCGAAAAACACGACCAAACCGACCCGAAAATATAGGTTCGGTTAGGATCCATGATAAAGTACTTACTGGCTATCTTCAAAGACCAGCAGGAATCGATTCTAGTATGGATCATAACCGAGACCTGATCGGGTACATAAAAGTACTCAATTTTTTTTTTATTATATATGTTTGGATATTTCATATATGTTTTTGGTATTATGTATATTCTTTTAAGTTTTAGTTACAGTTTTAGGTTTCGGGTTCTACAATATATATATATTTTTTTTTTTTTTTTTATTATTTTTTTTTGTTTTTTGGATATTCAAATCAAAGTTTTGGGTATATTTTGTTTTTCGAGTCAGATTAGGTAAAATTCAAGGTTTTCAGATATTTGAATATATTTTGAGTATTTATTTATGGTTTAAAGTATTTTTCAAATATTTTTCGGGTTTATTGATACTTTGAGTCCTAACTATCCAAACCTACCCGCTACATATCTGGAAATTAGAAATTACCACACTAGAAATACATAGAAATTAGATTATTCATGAAAATATTGAAATTATAAGTTACAATCTTTCACGAATCTAGATATCTTTTTAAACAAAATTAATGTTTTAAAATAGTTTCTCTAGAATAATAAATCATTAATTTTATAACTTGTTTGTATAAATATCCCCAAACATTAGAATACTATGATAATAAACCGGTTTTTGTATTATTACCATATACTATGTTATAGATAGGTTTACTCTAAAAATAATAATATGTTTGGTTTTAAACATATTTATCGTGAATGGAGATGTTCAATATATTTTATATTCTTTATTTATCAAACATCAGCTATGAAAATTAATCAATGGAAATGATAGAGGGTACTGTTGCACAGTTGGTGGCTCAAGCAAATGATATAGTTTTTGTATAATGTGTGAAATCAGTCACGTATTATGAAATTATATGGTATAAGGTGATAATAATGTATTGTGGAGAAATAAAAATATTGACCGATAAGAGTAATGTATAATAAATAAGAATATTGACTAATTTATTGTTAGAGAAATATAAGGTAAGTTATATGATATAATGTTATTGTACAATATTGTTAGAGAAATATAAGGAAAGATAAAAAAAAATGTTAGTATAATGAAAGGGTCCAAACAACTTTTTTANGAGTAATGTATAATAAATAAGAATATTGACTAATTTATTGTTAGAGAAATATAAGGTAAGTTATATGATATAATGTTATTGTACAATATTGTTAGAGAAATATAAGGAAAGATAAAAAAAAATGTTAGTATAATGAAAGGGTCCAAACAACTTTTTTAAGTAGATTTATTTAGACTCCTTCTCTTTTAATAGTATAGATTAGTTTTGCATATTTTTTTGTATAAAACACAATTATTTATACATATAACCATATTTCAACCAATAGAAAGATAAATTATAATATAAAATTAAAATTTGTCTTGAAAGTCGAAAACAACACTTATTTTGTAACAAAAACTTTTCTTTGCAACGATATTTAGTATGAACCGGAGGAAATAATTAATATTACTGTACAACTCTTTTTCTAGATTTTTAAACTAGTTTAGATATAGAATTGAATACTATTTTTGTTTTATATTTGTACAAGGTGAGTTCTTCGGAATGGATGGTGTGCCTAATTGATTAATGTAAAGTGTAACTTGTGGAATGTCATGATAATTTTAGATTCACTACTTTCCTCCACTTCCGTCGCGTTCATTCACATTTTTTCTTGTCCTGTGTCTGTGTCTTTCTTTGTATCTGGTTCCTATTCTTTTAGTCTCCCACCAATTATCATCTTTCTGGTGTGTCTAAAGTAATGTCTCCATCATCTTCTTCAATTATTTTGATAGCTTGTAATAAAGGTTTATAGACTTAAGTTGAAAGTCCCTCTGTAAAGGCAACACTATTTCTTTTTATGAGGACAAAGAATATATCCCATGAGACAAAACTTTTAAACAAAAGTTAAGGTACTTTCACAAACTTCTGAAAAGTAAAGGGATAGATTCTTAAATCTAGAAGACTTATGATGGTGGCCATTCAACATTATTGCCATATACTGTAGGCCTAATCTACTGTATATCAACTGTAGTAAAATTTCTCTTTACAAAACATTAAACTAGTGTTCAAAAAAGCGCTAAGCGGTGGTGACCCGACGCTTAGTGCCTAAAGCGACTAAGAATAAGCTTAAAGTGTATAAATTATAATAATATATTAAATATATATATAAAGTTTGATACTGAATTATATTACTCACAAATGATAAAATTTATATTATTTTATTTTCATAAGGTTCTATATTACAATGTAATTAAATATTATAATTTATGAATAACAAATTATATATTATTTATCCTTTCAATATTACAATTCTCTAGACATGTTAAAAGGTAATGAACATGGTTTGATAAGGTTAAGAGCATAATTAACTCCGCGTTAAGAACTTCGGATTAAAAACCGCCTAATCGTCATCTAGGCTGCCCCCTAGAACAGTTTCTTGAATGCATTAAAGTAGTTACGGACCAAACCCAAGAACTAAAGGCGAGATTCTCAACAAAGGTTCTAAAGTTTCTTTTGTGAATTTTCTCGCAAATAAAACACATTTGGAACTCGTAATATTCTCACCATCACGACCATAATACGGGCACTTATCTGTAAACCGAATACGGTTAATAAACTCATCGGTCACATCAGACCAAATAAACCGGCCAGGATGTGGACCGCCTCTGGACCAATCAACCCAAGTCAAGCTCCGGTTTGCGCTCATCTCTCCATGCAACATGTGAACGAATGTCGGGATATAATGCTCGTCCATGTAACAAGGCGGTTTGCAATATTGATCGAATATCTTGTAATAAACCGTGTCTTCGATTATATTAAGAGCAAGTTCGCGTGTTGTTTCAAACCATTGTGATCCTTTTCGCCAATGTGTGATATTGATTTGTGGATACATTTTGGGGTTGTACCGGCCTCGACCGGGTTTTCTTGGATCGTCGAATGAGCCGATGTAGCTGAGATTAGTGCCGGTTAAGTAATCGTAGATGGTTGTGAAGTTGAAAAGTGGGATGCAAGAATCGGACAAGAGGACAAATCTTTGGTTTGATTCGTCGAGGAGAGCGTTGGCTAAGAGTCTTCTCTCTGCGTCTACCATTGTTGATGTTCCCCAATACACTGCCTGTTTCACATTTTTTTAACACGATCAAACATTAATCAAGGTTATTATTAATTGTTTTATCATTACAAAGCATCTATCTATACGGTTCAAGGTTTTAGTGTTCTTGAATCTAGTTTTGTTTTCAGTTATTAACGCAAGATAAATTAGAATATACACGATTTCTTATATGTTTATCAATTATTTAAATCTGTAAAAATCACTAATTGCAATCAAGATATATGCACATGCTACGTGAAAAACCCATCGTGTCACATCCAAGAGATGTATGTAACCTTTGATAGAGTAATGATATAGTTGGTATAATTATATACGTGTAGATGTACTAATCACACAGGGTAAGCAGTGTAAGACAAGAAGTAAGAAGTTGTTAATTTAATCACCTGGCTTGGGATACTTCTTGAGTAGAAGACCGATGTTTCAGGGTAATGTTCTTGAAAAGATGGATGAGTATGAACATATATTGAATAAAACCCTTCATGTCCTTGAAAGAACTTATCCCACAAATCAGCCAGTGGGAGTCCGCCACCTGTCAAAAACATGAAAGCCACTTTCACAACCATCTTCTCATCATTGTTATGTCTCCTCCAAAACCATGATGATGGTGATGATAATGACGAGATCTTGGTGAAGAGTTCTTGATCAGTCATGTTGTGTTGAAGTAAATCTTGTTTGATCTCCAACGTTGTTGAGTGGTTGAATAGTAACGTGGACCATAAGGTTTGTTGTGTGTTGGTCGCGGACATGTGGAAGGCTTTTAGTTGAAGGCAAAGGAAGAGACCAACTGAGAAACCGATGATAAAGAAGAATGAGCGTAAGACAAGATTCCCATTTTGTAAGAGAATCAACCTCAAGGGCTTTGAGATGAGTAAGTGTTCTTCTTCTTTCTTGCTCTTTTGATCAGTAATGCCCATGGTGAGGTGAAAGAGAGAACGATTTGGTTTGTGCATGGTCCCTAAGGATTTTGCAACAGTTTATATTATAAACGTGTTACTACTAGTTGTAAAAGAATAAGACATTGTTTAGGAGTGTATTAGACGAAGTCAAATGAGGAAATTAACAGGGTTGAGTATGGAATGAAAAACTTCACCACCTTATGACTTTTCTACATTAAGCAGTTTTATATATATAACCTTCATGTTTTAATATGAAACTTAGGTATTAGATATCAACATTCTTACAATTTTGAGGTACAATAGATTGCAGTCCAAGTAAAGGTGATGAATCGATTTTTATTTCTCAAATGAAATGGTATTTAAAAAACAGTAATATTTAAAAAACAGTAGGAAGAGTATGTAAACTATTCGGTGCAGACCTACGAAACCGAGGAGCAATATTTCATGCCTAACTTTAGGTGCACGTAATGTCACTGCCAGACTTTTTTTTAGGCCGGTAAATAGTCAAATACGTTTAGTTGCTTTGTCACATGTAATTGTAAATTGAATAAGACCAAGCTGGGGGGGGGGGGGGGATTTCACTTGTACTTAAAGCTATTATAGAGTTTGACCATTTATTTTTGGCACGATCAATTCAATGTTAAATCAATCGCTAAAACTATTAATGTGGAAAGAACATACTTTGACAAAAAAAAAAAGGAAAGAACATACGTGGTTTAGTGATTTTTTGCTAGTTTCATTAGAAAAACATAACCACAAGATACTGGTCACAGTAACAGGTCCAAAACAGCTTAGAACGAGATGAATTGATTCCTCGTTATTAGTTGATTACTTGGTCCATTGTACAAGTTATTACAGAGTAATAAGAGTAGAACAAGAGGAAGAGAGAGAGACTAACAAGATCAATGATGAAACAAAGTGGTATTGTTCTTTTTGTATAAAATTTCAAGCTCCGGAGGTAAGAGCAAGCTCTATTTCCTCGAGTGATCGTCCTTTAGTCTCCACCACGTTTCCTGCAATGTACATGACTGCAAGGACACATACTCCAGCGAAACCCAAGTAGACACTGCTGATTCCGAATTTAGTCACAACACTTAGGAAGTAGAGTCCAATCACAAAGTTTGAGATCTGTTGAGAACAAAAGGAAAACATTAGAAATGCAGAGAAGAAACTCTGTTTCGAATCATAGAACCTTGTACTCTTGAAGATATATACCCAGTGCATGCCGAGAGAAAGAGCGACGGCTTTAGCTCTGATCCGGGATGCGAATATCTCTGGAAGAAGAAGAGCTGGTACGGGGCCAGCCCCAAGTGAGAACGACAAGACATATCTGGTTCAACAAACAATCATAGCAGAGTTAGCCAAGTCTGAAACAGAGAGACTCTAGAGTGTCGGGAACATACGAGATTGATTGACTTACAGAACAGTTCCAACAACAGCGAGAGTGCCTGAATATGCAGCAAGAGCCTTCCATGTGAAGGACAAAGAGAGCAACAGCATAGACAACGCCTTTTTACATACACACACACACCAAAAAAAATCTGAGTTAGCCTCATTAAGCACAAAACTGACAATGTAGGTGGAGATTTATAACATGTACCATTCCACCAAAGCTAGTAAGTAGAAGACTTTTCCTTCCCATTTTGTCCATCAAGGACGAAGCAACAGCAGTTCCTGCCAAAGGATTCTTATCAGGTACTTTGTTCGATTATGCTGGAGTTCATGAGTGGGAACAGAGAAGAGAAAACAAACCAAACACGTTTGATGCTCCAACAAGAGCACTGGCTGCAACATCAGATTGTATTCCGGCGCTGCGGAACACAGCTGTAGAGTAGTATACAACTGCATTTATCCCAGCTAACTGTTGAAACAAGAAGAGCGCCGCACCTACGCTTACAACTACAACAAGAAGTTGAAAGAAACTCCGTAAATAAGACCAATCCGAAAAGAAAATCAGAAAAGGAGCATATTGGCTTGATCTGTATCTTTTTCTAAGTTTTATAATACCTTTCCAGTAGCGGCTGCTGAATAGATCAAACCAACCTGCCTCTGGCTCAGAAGTACCTTGTCCAGAGGTTGATAAGTCACGCACTAGTTCCACCACTTTTTCTTTGCCATACAGAGTTTTGATAGCCTTTTCAGCTTCAGTAAGTTTTCCTTGCTGCAAAATTGATTTCCCTGATTAGTTAAAAAAATGATCTCAGTTAAGTGTGTGAGTTGCGTTCTTCCTGGAGAGTGAGTACCTGAACGAGCCACCTTGGGCTTTCTGGAGAAAAAGCCATTCCTATGGCTAATAGAACGGAAGGGATAACTGCAACACCAAACATCGTCCTCCACCTAGAAAATAATGAGATAAGAAGTTACATAAACACAATATGTAACCCAACTATCAAGGATTCACATACCATAGAGGGTTTGCTGCAAGGGGTAAACCAGCTATCAAGGCAGCAAGTATTCCTATACATATGAACAACTGGTTCACAGATCCGAGTGCTCCACGGATTTCAGTTGGTGATATCTGACACACATCATCACACGCTTCAGCAACATAACATATACATAATACAAAAAATGTCTCACATTAAAAATGTACTCAGTGTCAAAGACGACCTCGGATATGTAAAGTGGTACAATGGCTGATGAGATTCCGATTCCAATTCCTGCGAGGAGACGTCCCACAATCATAGTCTGCACACTCTGCGCTGTTGCACTATGTAACAAAACAGAACCAATGCGTTATAAATAATCACGTAATAACTTGCCACCAATAAGTATGAGTGCTTCAACAAAAATTTACCATAAGAAAGCTCCAACGGCAAGTGGGATAGCATCCAACTGGAAGGTTCTTGTTCGTCCAAATTTGTCAGCTAATGCACCTCCGGTGAAAGAGCCTACCGTTGCACCAGCAAGCAACGCGCTCACAATCCATCCTGCTTAAAAGAAATCAGAGAGAGTATAGGTTCCAATCGTAACAGAATCAAAATGTTTAGGTAGCTTCATCTCAGTTGATTACTCTTAAATACTGAAACAAGGAGTAAGAGAAGACACACTTGCCTTGCAAAACAGTATTATCAGCGATACCAAGATCCTTAGCAAGGTACTCAAGAGCACCGTTAACTACCCTGATTCAATCCAATGGAAACTTCATCATCATGTGAATGTATCAGTGTCAAGATTCATAGATACAGTTACTCAGATCATACCCGAGATGATACCCAAAGAGTATAGCACCAAGGCAAGCAACACCAACAAACGGTAAAACCGTCCCGGAGATTTTCCCTTCAGATCTCAGAGGTACAGCTTCTTCTACATCACCACCACCTACAAATTCATTCAAATCATCAGATGATTAATTACCTCCAAAGTCAAACAAACTTACAAGAAGCTAATCCCCAAAGTTGAAAACATATACTATAATCTTAGTAAAGACGAACCAGAGGAGGCGTGTGCTCTGACCGATCGAGCTTTGACCGAAGAGAGACTGTGGATCCCGATTTCAGCGCGAGCAAGTTTAGCTCCCATGCCTTTCGAGGTAGTGGAGAAGCGAATTCCGGTAGTAGTAGTAGTAGTCGCCGATCTGTTGTGGAGGTTAGAGAAGTTACGTCTCTGAAACGGAAACGTTGCGTTTCCTTTAACTGCTGCTGCTGCATACGTTGACGACTGCATTTTTTATTTTCCTTTGTTTTTTTTTATAACCGTCTATCTGCGACGAAAAGAGTTAGAGAGAGAGAGAGAGAGATAAGTCAAACACATCAAAAAGAAAGATCGCATTAAATTCAGACTATGAAGAACGCGATATCACGTAATTGCGAAATCGATACATTGATGGTGAACGAGAGTAAACGCTCTTTTCGATTGCGACTGGTTAACTAAAAATCGAGTTTTCAACTTCAGATTTGGAAAAACGAACATCACCAAATCGAACCATAGACTATTTCGAGTAGAAATATACCAGAGAAACTTCGGAGACTCCGCGGAGAGAGAGAGAGAGCTAGAGAGCACTGTGGGAGAGCTTTATCAGAGATTTTTGATGCAGAGACAGAAGAAGTTCACTTCTTAGCCTTTTGTCGTTATCAGCAAATTATCATTTCCACGTATTTAAAACGCCCCTTCAAAAAAGAGAGAACCCATTATAGAGTTTTTTTTTTTTTGGATTTTTATGTAATAAACAACAAGTTTTTTTCGTTATAAAGATTATAAAATTTTCTTTACATCCAATTCTTAGATCAAAATATCTATTTATTTTCATGTATCTATATTATTAAAAGAAAAGTACCCATATAAAATATCCCTTAGTTTTCACTTTTATTTACAATAGCATGCCACTGAAGTTATTAATTACCCTACTTTATAGGATTTTTTGTCTTTTCACTTTAATTAATACATTTCCAAAATCAAATTTTAACTAAAAATAATTATGACAACAATAATTAATGAAAATAATTATTTTCATTTATACCTTTCGTAATTAAATAAATAAATTCTATAGAAATTGTTTTACTAATTCCATATACATAATAATTAATTCCAATATTAATTAACCTATCTTTTAGGATTTTGTTTTTCTTATTAATTATCTACATATCTTTAAATAGTTAATGAACAATATTGTTTTCAAAGATATATAATTATATTTTTATTATTTATAAGTAATAACTAAAATAAAAGTCACAAAAGGAAACATTTATATAATATATAATACATAGATTAATATAAACATATTATGTTATATATATTTTTATATAAATAATAGTTCAAGGTAAATTCAGAATAATACAATTTAAAAAAGTAGAAATATATAGGACCATATATTTTAAATAGTAGATACAACAATTTAGTTATACATTATCATAAAATTTTGATCCATAAAAAAAACATTTTTGCAGATATACGGGTCATATTTTTAAAATAAGTATGACACAATGATAGTTTATAAAATAAAATTACTCAATATAAACTATAAAATTATGTGTTTCAAATGTCTTTTTAAACAATTATTTAAACGGGTAAATTTAGAAATATATATTATCACTTATAAAATATATAAAAACAAACACTTGCGCAGATCAAACAACAAAATTTTCGATATTCTTCTGTTAAAATTAAACCCATGAGTAATTTGTAACCATTTAATTGATACTTCATTTTTTTTATTTTAAAAATTTCAATCCAAATGTTTTATATATTAAAAATTTTATATAATTTGAACATCAGGCTTTTTCTTAGAAATGTTATAACTAATTTATCATTTTTTGTATATCATATTAACTCTTACTTCTCAGGATTTGATGTATCTTTAACGGAAAAATATTTTCAATATATCGTCTACATGTTAGATTTGTTTGTATGATACCCAATATTTTTGATACAATAAATTGTTAACACAAAAAAAAAACTTAATGTAATACAATTAATTTTTACAAAAATTTCATCTAATATAAAAATTTAAAGAATAAAATTAATGCCCATGCGGTCGCACGGATCAAGGTCTAGTCATCATTATTAATCGAGAATTATCATATTTTATCAAAGGTCTCATTCCATCTGGAGCACAGTCGGCTGTATGTATATATCTTTCACATATCATATTTATTTTATTTTGACAAGTGTATTTTATATTGTTAAACTTTATTATACGTAAATATTTATAAACTAATATTATTATTAACCGATTAGGGTAAAAATATGACATGCTAAAAAGAGAGGAAAAATAATTGTAAAAAAAAAAAGTAAATGCCGCAGGAGGTGATTTGGCAAAGGTGGATTTTCTGGATTAGATTTTGGATGACGTCGGCGCACGTGATATAGGAAGAGTACTCTCACGTCACACGTGCCAGGAAGAGTACTCTCACGTCACACGTGCCATACGGAGTACAATATGGTGACACTTTACATAACAACTTGGGCTCATATCACTGTGTGCTAACATTAGAAGGCCCATTAATTTATAATCGACCCATTAACTTTTAACATCTTCGTCTCTCCTCATGCTCTCACCCAGTTCATCCCTCCTTCTATCTCCTACCAAGGACAAAATCTCTTTATTTTTATTTCTGTAAGCCTGAAAGATTCGAAAACTCCAGAAGAAGAGGTTAGCGAATGTAATCTAAAGCAACCCTTGTAGTTAATTTCTTATCTCTGATTCTCCTTCTCGATTACACTGCGTTGTTTCGGAATTTCGTGAAAACATGTTATACATTCTCTGTTAATTTGTTCGATAATTAATATAATGAAAACAATTCTAGTGATTCTGGAAGTATAATTAGTCATGACAGTACATTTGCTCACAAAGGTTACATTATTCTATATATATAGTTTTGTAACTTAGATTAGTGATTGATTCTATTTATTTGAACTCAACAGCTCGATGTTCTGCTCAGCGTATACACCAAGTTGCATTTCTCAGTTTCATGTCAACAAGCCCGTTTTTCGGAAACCGAGGTTTCGTGTTTGTTCATCTACTTCTAGCGAGAGTGACAGGTTCAAAGTAGAGTACACTCCGTGGCTTATCGTAGGATTGGGTAATCCAGGGAACAAGTATCACGGAACACGACACAATGTAAATGTTAGATTATAGAAATGTTTGGTTTAGATCTTTGCAATGATACAAGTTTTGTGTTTGTTTGTTTTTACAGGTTGGTTTCGAGATGATTGATAAGTTGGCTAGAAAAGAAGGTGTTTTGATGAACACAATACAGTCTAAAGCTCTAATCGGAATAGGTATTTACTTCTCTTGTTTTCTTTTCTTTTTCGTTAAAGCATGAGAAAAGCTGATGACTTCTCGGTTGTGTCTATGTCTGATCAGTACAGGTGCTATCGAAGAGGTTCCTATCTTGTTGGCTAAACCTCAGACTTATATGAACTTCAGCGGTGAAGCGGTTTGTGTTTGTTTATTCACCAATATCTTCTTTGTCATAATAAGTTTCAAATTCTCATACCTGAAACTGGTTATGTTGTCTTTTAAAGGTTGGATCGTTAGCTGCACATTATCAAGTACCATTGCGCCACATTTTGCTGGTAACGTTACTGACTTTAGCTTCCTTACTAAGCTGAACAATCTTTTTAATAAAATCTTGTAATGAAGCTTACTGTGGGTTTCTCCCTCTTAGATATACGATGAGATGGCTTTACCAAATGGGGTCATGAGACTTCAACCCAAAGGAGGTCAAGGCTATCACAACGGGTATGTATCTATGTCCCTATGTGCCTCTTGAACATCTAAGTGTGTTCTCTGGTCTATAAGAAACTGATGTTGGTTTTGTATTTGTTGTAGAGTAAAGAGTGTAATGGGGAATTTGGACGGTCGTAAAACCTTTCCTCGACTAAGCATAGGTACTTTTTTGGTTCGTTTGAAACCGGAGAGTAACTTTTGTTTCTTTCTAAAGCTTCTGTGTTTTGTTGATTTTTGGTCAGGCATTGGTCAGCCACCTGGAAGCATGGATATGAAAGCTTTTCTTCTTCAGAAGTTTAGTCCATTGGAACGGAAACAGATTGATGAAGCACTCGAGCAAGGGAGTGAAGCTGTGAAGACCCTTGTGCTAAGTGGATTCAGTGAAGGAATCTCAAGGTTTAATCTTGTGCAGAAGTATAAATTCCACAAAGTATGAAATGCATAAATTGACGAGGGATACAGATTGGTTTAGCATTTTGATTTTGTTGTAAAACAATGTACTAATAGGGAGGATTACAATTGAATCATATTATCTGATTAATTTTAACAGTGCAAGAGGGTAAAACGTCTATGTTTTTATCAAAAATCAGTTACAATTCAATGTATGGTTGAAGGAAATTAATCATGAAAATGAAATTTTAAAGAAAGGTTTCAAAATGGAAAAGCACAGACACTAGTCTTTGTAAATAGAATATGAAGATTGTCATGAACAAGGAACTGAATCAAAAGAAAAGTTTCCTTCATCCTAAATACCACAAAACAGAATCCAAAACTCCTTTCTGTAATCTGACGATTCTTTCAGCATATTATCCTTTCAAGCTTCGACCGGGTACTCAAAAGTGACATCCTTGCCAGTAAGTTTACGGTACACACCAACCATAGTCTCGAGCTTGTACTCTGTGTTGTTCCTTTCCTTGGTATCCAAGTAGACCTTCATGACCTTGGAGCCATCAAGACGGTAACGAGTACGTTTTCCAACAATCTCCGCAGGGTAAGCAACATCCTCCAGCATAGCTTCATGAACAGAGGTAAGAGTCCTGTTACGTGGCCTCTGAACAGCAGCACCCTTCTTGGGAGGACGCATGATCCTTCTTGTGGCAACAAAGATAACATCCTGCAAAAAACAATGGCAAGAGCATTATACTCTTTAGCTCTTTACAAACGAGAACGTGTTTATTTTTACCTTTCCACTGAACTTCTTCTCAAGCTCTCTAACGAGACGAGGATGAATCTTTCGGAAAGCTTTCCTCAATCTGAATGGGACGTAAATCACAACAGCCTTGCGGTTTCCAGAGATGTCCATGTTACTGCAAATGACAAAACCATACTATTCTCATAAGATAAGAGCTAACGCAACCCTGGAAAGAAACAAGAATGCAGTAACATACACAGCTTGGTTGATGTAAAGATCTTTCAGCTCGCTTTTCAACTCCTGGTTAGTGTTCTCCAAATCAAACAGAGCCTGAGCAACTTGCTCGTCACATTCTGTTGGAGCAGCATTCTTGTCCTTCTTGATCTTGTTCTGAGCGGAGAACATCTTTGCAGCAGATCTTGAATTCTATTAAAAAAAGGTAAATGCATCAAACAAACAATCATCACAACCATGAATATTCTCTTTCTTGATTGACCAACATTCAAGAATAAATAACATTTTCTTACAAAAACTATTATAGCTAAACTAGCATATTTTCATAAACATCAACCTAAACAAGAGCTAAAATGTTCCATTATTCTACCTAAACAGGAAAAAAAAAACTTTCGTAGGGAACATAGAGGAAACGAAACTGATGAAGACCTTTTGCTACGTACCGGATAGTGAAAAGGGACGTGAATCTGAAAGAAAGAAGAAGAGCCCTAGAATGAAATGCAAAAAGAGTTGCGGCTTGGCTTCTTCTTACAAGACACAGATTGGGTGGTGAAAATTAGGTTTTAATGTTTAGTGAGTAGGGTTTTCCAACTTCCAAGGTTGGCCCATTCTAAAAATTATCAGTTATGGGCCGTTACAAGGCCTTTAGACCCTACGGGCCTATTTATTCACAAAGCCTAGTACCCCTCTTTGTGGGATAAAATAGTGTTTATTTAAAGTTTTTTTTTTTTTTTTTGTCAATTTTCATCTTCTAAAATAAAGGGATACTCTGTCCAATTGGATCTAATCTATATAGGAAAAGAGAACATCGTTGCTTCTCGCCTTTTTGGCAGCTATAATGCAAATATTTGATTGAAAGTATAGAATTTAGCCCTTCCTCTTCACATCTTAGGACAAAGTATAAAACACTTTGTCCTAAAAACACAGATCGCACAAAATGGATTCTGCATCGTCCAAAACCAAAGCTTTAGCCCTTCCTCTTCACATCTTAGGCTTCGAGCTCGATGAATTATCTACAACACGTGTCACAGGTCATCTCCCCGTTTCTCAAATGTGCTGTCAGGTTCTTTGTCCCTCCTTCTTCTTCTTCTTTAGTTTGATCATCAAAATTCTGAGAAAGTTCATATCTTTTTTTTTTTTCTTTCTTTCTCAAAAAAAAAAGCCTTTCAAGGTGTTACACGGTGGTGTATCTGCTTTGATCGCAGAGTCATTAGCAAGTATAGGAGCTTACATGGCTACTGATCTCAAAAGGATCGCTGGAATTCAACTCTCGATCAACCATTTAAAGAGTGCTGATCTTGGAGACACTGTATTCGCTGAAGCATCTCCTGTAAGCTCAGGCAAAACAGTTCAGGTTTGGGAAGTCAATCTTTGGAAGTCAAGCAAAAATTCGGATCATAACAACAAAACCTTAATATCTTCCTCTAGAGTCACACTCCTCTGTAATCTTCCTACCCCTGGTCACGCTAAAAATGCATCGGACCCACTCAAAATAATATCCAAACTCTAGACAACTACAAAGCTATCTATCTCTATATGAATGAATATGAGTCATTGTATTTTATCTTTTGCTTATGGCATTTTTTTTAATTTTTGACTTGTATGGATCACTTATTCTAAACATTTACCCTTTTTGATATGATAATAATAATTAAAAAAATATCCAACTAACTCTAATATCTCGATGTGACAAACGGAAAAATTTAAGAATATCGATTTGACTACCTACATCACCAAAAATGAACTTAACTTTTCGGGAGCACATATAAGAGAAAACTCTAAACTGAAACGTGTTTGTGCTAAAATAATCTTAAAATAGATGACCTATCGAAAAAATGATTTATTTTGTGATACCATATAAGTAATGCCAAAACACGAAGAAATGTCAGTGTGATAATTGCAGGGTTAATAAACATTTTCTTCATTCTACTCTGTTAAATTATTCTTTGCTCCTCTAACAAGTATCGCAAATAAATGACCACTTTTTATTTGTTAATCCAATGAAATGAAGTATACTTTTTCACCTACAAAATGTAACCAAACTCAAATGAGCAGAATCTACACAGTAAAGTAACTTTATGATCCATCCTCAACTTGCAAGCTATGGTCGTCAAGCCAGGAGATAATATCAGACAAGACACGGAGGATCATTTCGTCTGGTTCGCCTTCAAGCAGAGAATGATAAGCATCTTTATACACAACTATCTTCTTGTCTGAACTTTTGGCTTTCTGGTAAAGCTCTCTGCTCACTGATAGGTCTGTCACTCTATCAGCCTTTCCGTGTAGTATCAGTATTGGCAAACACACCTGCAAATATCAAGATAACATTCACTGTTCTGTTTCTTCTTCTTTTCTTTAGTCTCATTATGCTTTATTACCTTTTCCAACTGTTGCTCAATCTCCTGAGTAGTATGAAGCATCTCTACAGCTGTCCGTAGACGCGGTTTGTCACTGTAACAAATGACATTGTATGGTGTCTGCAAACAAGAAGACGAGCCTGAGTAACCAAGAAAGGCAATAAGTTGCTATTCTATTTTTTACCATTTTTCTCTTCCTTAGATCTCTAAAACTTGCTTCTGCTAAATCCTTTTGTGGAACCAGCTTGTGTTTCGGTAGAACATTAGCTAAACCGATCAAAATCTGTTTCAATACCGGTGGTGGAACCATATCATCTGCAATCTAGAAAGGGACAGAGAGATGCTTCATTTTAATGCTATGATTAAGTAATCCACAAGAGTTTCTTAATGACTAAAGCTTACTTTGCACATTGGTGCTACCAAGACTGCACCGGTCCAAGCATTTGGTTGTTTGAAATGTATTTTGAGCGACACTGCTCCACCCATTGACTGTCCAAAGAGAAAACTCGGTAGAGAACTAAACTCAGGACTCTCTACAAACCAAAAGTTCAAGACCAGTCAGAGTTTACCCTTTTCTACAATGTGATTAAAAGTTTGTAGGTACCTTTGATGTTGGAGTAATGCTCAATGACATCTTCAACAAGAAGATCAAAGCTAGGAATGTAGCCGTGCAAGCCTTCCGATAAACCAAATCCAGGATAATCCATAGCGAAAACTCCATATCCAGACAATGCTAATCTCCTTGCAATCCCTGCAAAATGCAAAGCTTGTAATCAATCAACCAAACATTGAGCTAATTATTAGCCATTGGTTTTCTTAAAAAAAAAGAACCTTCGAAGAAAAAGGTGCAAGTATCTCCATAACCATGGCAGAAACAGACCAAAGCTCTGGGCCTAGTAGCTTCAGGAAGCCAGCTTTTTGAGAAGATCTCAACTCCTCTTGAATTCACCTCATAAGACTACATTTAATCAAAGATCATCATCACACACAACCAACATTATAAAAAATAATTCAAGTAATTTAACTTCAATTCATGTAACAAAAACATATGTTTATTACCTCCTTTGTCTTAATTCCATTTCCTGGTGTCTGCAGCAAAGCAATCAAAAATCAGTTCACAATTCAGACAAAAGGGGAAACAGTTTGGTCTATATCAAGCAATCAAAAATCACTTCACAATTCAGACAAGAGGTGAAACAGAGTTTGGTCTATAAAGTCTCAACCTTTCTTATACCCAATCCGATTAAGAATGAAAAACAATAAAACCCTAGAAAAATTCGACCGATTCACGCGAAAAGATTCAATTTTTATTTTGTTTTACCTTGAAGAGGATATGATCGAGGTTAAGCTGAGTTTCTTTCAAGGAATCGCGAACATGACGGCGAGCCGGAGCTTCGTCCATGTTAACATCTTTGAGTCGACGGAGCTCATCGCTGTCTACCTTCGCCGTTGGAGACATCGAGCTCTTCCGTTGCCACACGCTTCTTCCCTTATCTGCAAACCCTAAGGTTACAA